TAATACATTACTGAAACTGTAAGTATATGAATGTCTCTGGATTTTCTTAACACTCCAGTTTTAGAAGCTTTAGACTAATACTGTATAACTGGGTTTAGGATTTAACCACAGTTCACATTACTAAGCCTATATCCTTTTCTGTCAGGTACCTCCCTTCAAAAACATTTAGAAGCTCCTGTGACTGTTTCCTTAAAGTTTATTCCAAAGTAGATATTTTCAAACATTTCAAAAAATTTAAACGTTACATTAAAATTTTTTGTAATCTGTTTAATCTCATATTCTAATTTAAAGTAATAACAATGCCACTTCCTGAATGTGCTTTAAGAGAATGTTAAATGCCAGTAAGATTGATTCACTCCTTATAACAATGGTCTTGAAATTGCTAATTAAACAGGTATGAAAGTAGTGTGGATTTAGCAGCTTTACAGGGAAACCTCAGCCAATAAATATCCAACCCCAAGTAGATGGAGAACTGGAGAAACCTAATATAACGAGCACGCTGAAGACTAACGTGCCACTTGCTCTTTGCTGTTACCTTTACACTATGCGGCAGACATCACCAGCTGATACTCTGCACAAGAAATCACGGTTAGAACATTATCCGTTATTTCTAATTGCTCAATACCGTGTGGGTCAGGTGGCAAAAAGCGGAGTGAACAATCAGATCCATTAAGACATATCCTTTGAGATTTAGGAGCGCACATAAGGGTGGTCGTAGAAATTGAGGGTTTCTCAATAGTTAAAGGGATGGTTATAGCAAGAAACAACGTCTGGTAAATCACAAAAGACAAAGTACTACCTTTGTGGAGCTAGAAGAAAAACCAGAGCGCCTAAGTAACATTTAAGGTAGCAATTTGTATCTTGCAATACATTTAAAGTTTTAATCTTGTATTTTTATAGGCTTTTTCTGGGTTCTCTTTTTAAAAACAGCTCCAGTAGGAAACAATTCTAAGGATAACAGGTGTCTCTTCTTAAAATGGCGATTTCAGTAAATTCAATTTTCTTAATAACAATAGCTGAAATCTGAAATTTAACTTGAAATTGGTTTTCACACACTGGCTCTTAGGCAAGGTGACTCTCTCCAGTGCAGGTCGCTAGAGATACATTCCTATATGTTTATAGCTCTGCTCTTGAAATGTAAATACGTGGAAAATATTAAACATGTAAGATCGACTATACCAGAGCAAGATAATACTATACCTTAATTATCTCAAGTTAGGGAATTCAGTTACTTTCTCAGCAATTTCAATGCCACCATAAAAAAGGAAACTATTTTCACAAATAGGTCTTGGAGATCGCTATGTTTAATTAGGTAAATGCTTATTCAGTGGGAATTCTGATTATCTTATTTATTCTGCAGTTCTTTGAACTGAAAAGACCAACTGATGTTCACACCAAACTCAAACTTATTCTAGAATCTCTGATGAAAAAAACCACGCAAAGCAGTTTATTATTTCACACATACAAAATGACCTGGAGAGAAAGCATATCTTGTCTGAGGAAAGGAAAATGGAAGTCATGTTGTTTAAATGGTCAATAATTAACTGCTGATTAATCAAAAACAAAGCTCTGCTATAACAATTTGGCAAAGCACATGCCAAATGGCAACCAAAACCCCTTTGAAAAACCCACCGGAAAATATCCACGTTACACTGAATGAGGTTCATTCAGATCTCAACAGAAATTCATTTTTAGATAGGGAAAAAAAAAATGTAGCATGAAAACTACAAATTCTATCACCCAAAAGAATTTCTTTAAGGTAAAAAAAGAAAATCTCAGTAGCACTGAAATTAAAAAGTAAAATGAATAAAAAATAGTTCTGGCAAGAAAAAGGAAACTTCAGAGTGATACAAAGAACAAAGAAGTAGAAAGACATGTGAACAACTAACCTCACTTAGAAGAACTCTGTTTTGGAAGAAAAGGAAGTTGGTAATACTTGGTATTATCCCAGAGCTTACATCAAGCTTTAAAAAAAGAAAGTTCCCTCTGGACTCTAAGGTTGGACCTAGTATATAAAACACAGTCGCCCCTCAGTGTCTGCAGGGGATCTGTTCCAGGACCGCCGGGACTACCAAAACCCGAGGATGCTCAAGTCCCTTACATAAAATGACGTAGCATTTGCATATAACTTCCACACATCCTCCCATATACTTTAAATCATCTCTAGATTACTTATGATACCTAATTCAATGTAAGTGTTATGCAAATAGCTGTGAGCGCATGGCAAATTCAAGCTCTCCTTTTTGGAACTTTCTGGAATTTTTTTTTTTTTTTTTTTTAATACCTTTGATCCATGCTTTGCTGAATCGGTGGGCGTGGAACCCGCAGATACGGAAGGCCGACTGTAAGTTGTTTTTTAAGTCTGATTCGTGGGCACTTGCTAACACTACCCAAGTAATATCCAACAGGATGAACGGTACTCAGAAGCCATGCCTCATGTCAATGGAAACTTGCAGTAAGACTTTCTCAAAACTGTTACAAGATATTATTACGTATACATTACATTTAAAGCACAGTTGGAAAGATGGCATTAAGTAAAGCTGAGATGGAAACATTCGAATCCTTGACTGGCTGTAGAAACAATAAGGAAGTGAGGAAAACTCAGACGTTCTCAGCAGAGCAGTGGACTAACAAGTAGCTACTACTTTTAGTTTTTTAGAAATAACTGCTTAGAACAGCAAAGTCACAACAATGTAACAGCTTCCTTATGCAAAGCTTCCATCAATATATAAGGGCGGTAGGGTGGGCACATTTAAATATAAATAATTTTAAAACTGGTATTTTTTAAAGGTTCAAGTTATGGAAAACAGGTGATTAGGCAATTACTTTATGACAAGGGGCTAACTGACAGCCCTGGTGGGATAGTTCTGTCTTCGTCAGATCAGCATGCTTTCGGCCGCTTACCTGGCTTGTGTCGCAGTCCTGTGTATTCTCCGGGAAGGAGAATCGGCACTGACGACCACGGTATATTCTTCGCCGACATCCGCACAGCAGGGGGATCTCATTTTCATTTGGGCCGTATCTTGAGTTTCCTCACAGAGTTAGAAATACACGGCTACATGGCAAAACGTTTTCTTCTTCTCTTGTGACTATGTTGAGTAAAACCTGACATCACTAAATGTGGCGATCTGACACCTTACAGAGAAAACGAGGTGCTGTAACCTGCTGGCTCCGTTTTCCAACTGTGATTTATACGAACCATTAGCACGTCTGCAGTCTACACGTCTACATCTGCCGCCTTACACCCAGACCTGCAGCCTGTAACGTGAAGCCGCAGAGAAGTGAACTGCACTCTGGGCAGAAAGACAGAACTGAATAAAAAAGAGGTTCTCTTCGTTTGTCCTGCAGCTTGACAGCCTTTAAATAAAGGCACTCTCTTCTCCCAAACTGTCCGAGGCTTACAGGGGACTATTGCTGGCCGACACCAACTAAACTCCCGTCGCGGACGCTTTTCTTTGCCCTCCACTTTTCAACTCTGCTTTAAAAATGGACCACGAATAGACGATGGCCTATTCAAAGGCAGTCTTCCGAAAGAAAACTAGTTTTGAACGGATCGTGAGGGCCCGTTCAGGATTTGCAGTGTTTCCCAACCTTACCTTATTATTTTATGTTTTTTTTTAAAAAGGTTACATTGTAGTTTCAAGATATCTCTGGAGTATAAAAGTAGTACTGCTAGATCAGGAAAACGATATGGACATGCATCGCTTCAAAAGTGTTACAAGACCACAAGTTTTAAGAGGGTAAACGTTGTTCTTTGGATTTTACCAAAGTTCATTCAAAACAATGTTTAGACTGTAGGATATTTAAGATAGCTGTTTAAATTTTATATTTTTGTACAAGTTCAGTGGGGTTCTTTTAGAAGAATCAAAAGACGTGAAAACAAGGGTAGCTTCTTGCCCCAGATTTTGATGAGTTTTGATACATCTTTGACAAACATTATATTTCTTCTTTAATGATGTTCCTCAAACAAAACCGTTAGCAAAATATTTGAATTGCCATGTATAATGTCACATTTTAATGTAAACATCAAATAAAGGTACCAAAATTTTTACTGGAGGGAAAAAAAAAACCTTAAAGCGGCACGACTCTTTATACCACTGGAGAGGGGGGAAGCCAGATTACGAACATTTACACATGCATAGTGAGGAAAAGAAGATTTTACTAAATTCACGCGTGTTTAAAATAGTTATCAAGTCTACTAAGCACCAACAATCCTAAAAATTTTTCAGCTTCATGATTTGTTTAAAAAAAAAACCCACACACTCAAATTAACATTAAAAACAAGCTTAAAGTGTAGCTTGTCCAAAAAATAATTAAGTATGCCACTGTTTTTTTCATGTTACAAAAAACAGTGGCATATGAAATACACCTGCAAAGAATGCCTTTAACTCTATCCTACAGTGGATGGAGATTACAACAGCACATCATACATAGTCTAAAACTATAAAAGTTTTAGAATGCAGCATCTTGTCACCAAAAAAAGCTGATAAAACTTAAAGTATTTAGAAGATGCTGCCCCCTTTTTGTTTTAAAAAATTTTCAATGAATTTAAGCAAAAATAACATACATTTGTACATCAACTGGCCATTTCTGGTACAGAAACCCAGCGTATGGTAATATTACTGAATAAATGTAAATGCTACTTACAATTTTTTTTTCTTTTTAAATACATTTTAGACAAACTTTTTTTCTCCTTTTTTAATAGTTGCACAATTAACCTCTTAGCTGCTAGCTTGATGCAAACATATGTAACAATACACAAATTTAAAAATAGTTTTTATTCCACATAAAAGCTGTCAAAATTCCGACTCATGTCAAAAATGCAAAATAATGGAATATACTGTAAAAAAAATTAGTTGCAAGTCTAGCAGCAAAGCAATTGAGAACATACTTAATATTAAAACAAAGGGAACTGTGCATCTATAGGTGAAGTCCAGCTATCTTAATTCTACTGATACAAACAGAAATGAAAACTCTCTCCCTGGAGGAAAAAAAAGTGATTATTTAAAATAGGAGTAAAAGCCATTGCTGCCCGATGAGCTCCCCAGGCTGAGTTCCTGGAACAGAGACAGAGGGTCGCTGCTCTTCTTGGCCTGCTCCGGCGGGGGCCTGGGCTTGGGCGGGGCCCGCAGAGCGCTGGCGTACGACATGGCGGGCTTGCTGCCTCCACAGCTCTGCTGGCTGCTGCTGCTGGCCGACTCCGCGATCTGCTTGTTGGGCATGAGTGGGGGGAACTGGCCGAGATGCTGCAGGACGCTGTAATTGAAGGAACTGGACCCCTCGAGGTTTTCAGGCTTCAGATGATCCTCAGGGGGTTTGCCGGTCTTGGGCGGAGCTAGAAGCAGAGAAGAGTAGCACCGATTTAAGGGCAAGCCCAGCGACCCTCAGGCATCTCACGAGCTCAGTGTGTCACAGCTGGTTCTCATCTCCAGGAACTCAGCGACAGGAGAGCCACAAGGACAGACAACTTCTGCCACAACACTCTGCAATCACAACACATCTAACTGAACTTTCTCCACCTCATAAACACTTGGAAGAGGAATTAACTATGTGAACTGAGATATAACTAAACACATAAAAACTAAAGGTCAAGTCTGAAGGTTTGCTTCAAAAAACTAACTTGTACAATTGCACACTTTGCTATTTATTATATTAACTGCTCACAGTTTGAAAATGGGAACAAACAGGTTCTTTCTTAAATAAAAATGAGCTCTATATGCAGACTTCTGGTTAAAACAGCTTCTCTTTATTAACCTAAGAAACAGCAGCACCTGGATTCAATTTCTTAAAAATACTACCTTTTCTTGTAACATGTAAGGAAACATGGAATAAGGTGGAGAAAACTGCTGCAGACTTTACGTCACGTTTCCTATCATCTGCCGAATTCCAAGGTCCTTTAATATTCGACGCCACTCTTCCTAACTAATTTTATGGCCCCCTAAATCATAACTTGTTTTAAACACTGCTTTTGCTTTCAATCTTTTAAAAGTTTAACTAACATTAGATTGGATTAAAATCATAATACATATTCATTGAGGATAACTTGGAAATTACACAAAGGCCAAAGAAGAAAATAAGTCATTCATATTTCCAAATACCAGAGCTAATAAGCCTTAACTTGCTGGTGCATTTTTCCCTAAGGATGTCATATAATGCAGAGATTTCATAACTTTTTAAAGTAATCTCTCATTTTTAGAAATATGGATAATAGTCAATTTTTCACTTTTCTACACTGTGATAAATGTTGTTATAGATAAATATTCCTAAATATTCACGACTGCTCCCTTAGGATAAATCCCTAGAGGTACAATGGCTGGGTCGTATAGTACATACACAGTGAAAGTTTTTGATTAACTATGGCCAAGCTTCCCTGCAGGAAAATACTGCCCATTTATACTCAACCAACGCTTGCTCATTTCCCTACCACATCACAACACTAGTGTTACTACTTTTTTTAACTTTAGCTTATTTTATAAATAAATAATTATCTGGTAGTTCTACTTTGCATGCCTTTGATTTACTGATATTTACGGATATTTTTCCTTGTGTTTATTACCTATTTGTAGAAAGTTAAGGAGAAAAATATTTCATTTTTTACTTTTAGTATTTCATTGATTCAATATGCTAATTTCATATTATTACTTTAAAACTTTAAAAATTCACAAAATTGTTCAAAATTATTTTAAGCCATTTAAGAGCTTTCTGGAACGTTTGCCACCTCTTCTGTCTAAATGTCACTGATTTTGTGAATGAAACAATTGTTTTTAAGAGCATTAGTTTAACAAACACTTCAATATAAAAGTGGCCTGTAACTGCCTAATATACAAAATAAACATTTTACTGGCTGTTCAAAACCTTACTATTTTTATTTACTTTACTAAGTCTTATTTACCCATATTCTCATCTTCACGGCAATATAATCAGAGTTTAGAATGTTTTCATTCTAAATAAATAATAAATACTTACAAAATAATATTTTAGAGGCAGTTTAGCCTGATGCCTACATGCTCATCTAATCATGAATGTAAGATCTCTGTCAATTTGATTTACCATATATGCTCCTGGTAAGACAAACTATTCTTTAAAACTATGAATTTTACTAACCTGGCAACCAATGACTTTTTTCAAAATACGTATCTCTACCTAATCTTTAATTTTCATCTGTGCATAAAAAGAAAATGCTTGATAAAGTATGCCTTGTCACCAAGAGAAGTGAATAGAACCCGAACACATACGTGTTGGAGAGACGATCCCCACCCTCGCTCTGGACACAGAGGTCCCGCAGTGAGACTGGATCACCCCCTCGATCGCACAGGGTCTATTCTCATGATCTCCTCACTCAGCAGGCAGGCATTTACCAAGTGTGATCAGTACCAAAATGGGAAATCCAAAGTTCAAAAAGGTCAGAGACATGAGCTTTGCTCTCAGGCTTGTAATTGTGGAGAAAATATGGCCATATCATGACCTCTTTCAAATTCCAAACCAATATAATATGAACAGTTTCCTTCAACCCAAGAACTGAAGTCTCAAACTTCAGAAAGAAGTTCCCCAAGTGGTGATTATTTTCCTTCTGATTCACCACCGGCAATTGCTACATTCCTCTAAAAATGAAATGAAAATATAAAATAAAATAAAATATAAAATAAAATAAGAAATACGTACATACATACATACTGTTAGACGAGAAGTTGTGCTTCAGGATATTAGTGATTTTGAATTAATTTTTAAATACTTAGCTAAGTGTTACTTTCAACTAAAGAATACCACTATTTGTCTCCTAGCAATGAAGAAAATAATAATTTTATATTTGTGGAGAAGACACCATAAATGACATGTGCTTTGGGCACTTGCTCAGGAAATTTCACCTTTATCAGATTTTTACTGATTTCGGCCAAAAGCTATCTTAAAATTTAGGCAGAAAAACAGGAGAAATGATGTTGTCTTTAAAATAAATTATAATACACAAAACAACTAAGAAGTAACAAATTTTCATCACTTATTTGTAATTTACACGTTTCTCAAATATGATGAGTGCATTTCTGTTAGACCCTGAAAATGACAAAGCAAATCCCAGGCAAAATACAACACTTTATCCACAGAAGGTACTAACGAATGTTTAAAGTTTAAAGATTAAAATGACCGCGTCTCTTGACAGGAAAGAAACCAACACCTTTTTAATGCTTTTTGACCTACCATGTCTACTGTTCTAAAAATATGCTTGTATGGCACATACTCCAAAATGGGTCAGTTACAGGCACAATTGATTCACATTCTAAAGATGAACAAAATTAATTTAAAATACAAAGGTTGATGCTATCAAGGCAGAAATTCACCGCCGGTCACAGACTTGTTCACAAAGATCAATGACTACAGCCTACAAAGAGAAGGCCATATAGATCCGAGAACTCAAACAGTATCATTCTTTACATTCCACATAAAAAAAGAGGGAAACAAAGGAAAGATAAACTGTGCACTCGCCTTCGAGGCTGAAGAAGCCTTCAGCCTTCCCAGCACACAGGTTTACAGCCATATCCATTCCAAGGCCTTCCTATGCCTTCTTTCTTTTCTCCTTTGGACTTGGATTTCTCAGTTCATTAGAATATAAGGAATAAACACTGGATTTCTAAATCTCAAAATGTCAGACTTTACTGGTTTCTCTTATGGCCAAACTCTATTGTGTAGCAAACTGTCAACAACTTTACTGACAATAAATCCTTGAAAAACTGAAATTGACCTAACCAACTGCCACCCCCAACCCAGAAGAAAACACAAAAATCCAGAAAACAAGCTTTTCCCAAGCAAAGGTGATCTGATTTAGAAATACATTTTAGGTTCCCTTACTTCTTTCACGCATTCACAGGTTAAAATGATCAAAATGATCAGTTCCCAAATACGGGTAGGTCTACTTACCTTCCAGACCATAAATATGGAACCAGTATAGTCCTAAATTAAGGTGTATCCTGAGGCAACCCTGCGAGCTACGAGCATTAAATACTGTTCCCAAGATAATAATGCGAACGGAAGGAATGGGAGAAGAAAAACTCCATAAATACCCAGGAGCTGAGTAGTTAAAACTGCAATTGTGGCAACCCCCAACCCTGTCTTACCTATCAACTCTCTGGGCTGAGCTGTCCTGCTGGATCCATTGCACGGAATGTTCTGATAGGGGGTAGATGAGGTGGTGTTTACCCAGGACTCCGGGGAGGAAAAGTTGAAAGAAGGTTGGTTATTATGGTCCTGAAGCTCTTTACACTGGGCAAGGCTGTCTTGAGGAGTGCTTACTTCTTCAGAACAAGGCTGGACTGAGCTAGATGAGATTCTTCTTTGGTACAAGGGCCGACCAGGTCCTCTGGGTTCATACTACACAAAGAAAAAGGACAGTTCATAAACCAGTGAAAACTTACGCCCCACTCTCTTATGCACACAGCAATCTCACTCTATTAAGTAGAAATTCTCAAAAACACTTTCTTCTGTGGCTATCACCCCCCAAAAAGCAGCCTGAGCTGTGGACACGGTGTCAGGAGACCTGGGGTCAAAACTCAGTTCTGGCCCTTAAGCAGGTCTTCCTATGACAACACACGTCTAATTTCTGACTCTGTCTTCCTGTCTGTAAAGTATGGGGCTGAACTACCTGTCTTCAGTTCTAAAGTTCTATCCACATTTTAGGTAACATTAGATTAAGATTAAGAATGAGGAAGCATATCTGCTCAAAATTAAATGGGGAAATTAGTCACGGTCAACTGAATCACAACATCTTGAACACATTCGTCCGTTTGAGACTCATCTCATGGGCCCTTCACAACCTCCCGGTTTGTCATTCCTTAGACCTGATGGTAAGACAGGGTTCCTCCCACCCAACAGAGGTACTCCTGATCGCCCTCTCTGCACGTCTTCCTTCGGAAAGTCTTCGACTGAAATGGAACATTCATTATTCTTCAACAAATCCTTCGTACGTTTGAAACCCAATTCACATTTTTCTCCTCCCTACACTTGCACAACCGAAATTTCTTTAACCCTCCGACAGGATGTATTTGCCAGCATTTCACGATTTTTTACTGCTACTTAAGTGCCCTCCAAGCTCTCGGGCCCCACTGCTGTGGCCATGCTCAGGCTCAGTTCTAAGAGCAGAGGCAATACGGAGTAGCAGTCAGGTGTTCAGTTCTCCCGGCAGCATCACCCGGCAATTGACCTAGCCTCTTGGGAACTTCATCTGTAAATGTGGCTTCCCTGTCCACAGTGCCTGCCTCTTAGGGTTGCTGTGAGACCTGAGCAACTTCAGCATGCATAGCATTTGGCACATAGGAAGGTTTGCTGTTGATGTAACATAAAGGATAAGCTTCCGTGTTACAGAGCTTACATGACAGAATGGGATTGGCTTTTTACTGCCCCCTCTCCCTCCCCCGGAAGTAACAGATTTGCTATTCAGTTTGTGGTCATTATGACTGGGAGGAAACTTTCTTTTACCACCGTTGCTACAGATAACTGGAAATCAGGAATTAGAGGTTAGATTACAAAGAAGAGAGAGAGAGATGGGCACAGAAATAGCAGGATCTGGGGGGAATATAAGATATCACAAGCAGATATTGTCAGGCCAATTAAATGTGGGAATTTGTGGGCCTAAGTATGTGAGAGTAGCGTCATCACGGACGGAACCACAAGGGTACAAACTGGGGAAGGGAATGGGTCTGGACTGGCTGCCCTTGAGCAGAAAGGCAGGAAGTGGAGGGAGGAGAGAACTTCTCTCACTGTTAAGTGAGGATGTCCAGGTCATTTCTACATCTCCACAGTTGTAGCTACTGGATGAGAAAGGCGAGAGCTAATACCTCCATCCCATGAATACCTTTTCTCATGTTTCTATTGTTCTTCTGTCTTTATGTACAGTATCTAAATTCAACTTTAGTTTTACTCTGCTTTAAAGGTATTTTTTTCCAATGGTTAAGATCATTCCAAATTTGATTCCTATTTTCTAGAATAGTAACCATTCTAACTAGTGTCAACTGTGAATTTAATCAGCACATTTGAAATTTCTTCATCAAGGTTATTAACTTATGGTGTTGAGTAGAATAACCAACACTCCTAAACTGCTTTATATTCTGTATGGCTGGGCAATGAATGAATGACTGGTCACAGCAGCTTGTGCAGGGTACCTTTTTTTATCAAGGTTTGTTATGAAGATGATTAGCTCTTAAGACTCAAAGTGAAGTGCTTTTTTTTATTACCACGCCCTGAGTGTTCAGCCCAGTCAGGAACTGTAGGGGATCACATTCTAAAGGCTTTATGTGTGGGCTTCCCTGGTGGCGCAGTGGTTGCGAGTCCGCCTGCCGATGCAGGGGACGCGGGTTCGCGCCCCGGTCCGGGAAGATCCCACGTGCCGCGGGGCGGCTGGGCCCGTGAGCCACGGCCGCTGAGCCTGCACGTCCGGAGCCTGTGCTCCGCGACGGGAGAGGCCACAACAGTGAGAGGCCGGCGTACCGGGGTGGGGGGGAAAAAAAAAGGCTTTATGTGTGAATACTGAAGTACAAAACTAAAATCTGTTATGGCCTCAGAAAACAGGTTATAATAATCCAATTCCCTGGTGATACTCATATGAATTCCAGGCATTAACTTTATAAGCCCCCTTGTGCAATGAACAGATATGTGAACCACAACGCTTAAATGAGGAAAACTAAAAATCAGAAAGCAATGGAAAGCTGATATAAAAGGAGAAAATATTCAATTAAACTTTAAAAGAAATGTGTGTCACTTATATCTTCCAAACTGAAATCCAAAAAAAAATCACACAGTTGACACACACAGTACTTGTGGAGGTATTGTGTAACATGTTTATAACAGCTCCTAAGCAGCTACTGACAAAGATGAATGGGTAGATTAAGTATAAAATACAACTTCAAATGACATTATGAATGCAACTGATCCTCTGTTAGAAAAAGAACCAAAACTTGGCATTGTTTCAATGTTCTTAAAATTAGATATGCTGAAGATTTAATTTATATATATATATATATATATATATATGTGTGTGTGTGTGTGTGTGTGTGTGTATGTACACACACACACTCACACATAATATACATACGTACATATATAATATATAGATGGTCTCCTGGTATACCTACTTCATACAGCACAGATGTAGGTAAATGCATGAAAGTATGATTTGCTACTCTGGAATCTGTCCTCAAAGGTAATTTGAGGATAAGCAGAGAAATCTTGCTGACAACTGAAATGAAATGGTTTATACACCAAATAAATTACCTTGTAGCAGTTTTGTAGTTTTCAGCATACAGACCCTGTACAGGTTTTGTTAATTTGCACCTAGCATTTAATTTTCCTCTGAGCTATTGTAATGGTACTTGCTCTTACATTCTGGTTTCCAATTGAATGTTGCTAATGTATGGAAATGGGATTGACTTGCGTTGACCTTTTACCTCAAAACCTTGCTAAATTCACATTAGTCAAAATTAATTTTTGTTGGTTTGTTTTCTGGGTAGATTCCTTGGGCTTTTTCTACATTGACAATCATGTCATCTGTGAATAGGGACAGTTTTATTTCTGCCTTTCCAAACTCTGTGTCTTTTCTTTTTATTGCTGTACTGCACTGGCTAAGACTTCCAGGATAACGTTGAACAGGAACGTTGAGAGTGGACATCTTAACTCGTTCCTTATCTTAGAAGCGTTCAGCATTCAGTCTCTACCGTTAATCATGATGGTAGCTGTAGGATTTTTATAGGTGCCCTTTAACAGGTTGAGGTAATATCCCTTCTACTTCTAGTTTGCCAAGAGTTTTTATGAGTGGATGTTCTGTTCTGTCAAATGTGTATAGGCTTTTTTTGGGGTGTGTGTGTGTCTACTGATATAATCACGTGATTTTTCTCGTTAGACTGTTAGTATGGTGGATTACACTGATTTATTTTCAAACACTGGACCAGCCTTGCATTCTGGAAATAAGCTCTGACATGATTATGGTGTATTGTTCTTTTTTATATATATTGCTGAATTCAATTTGTTAATGTTTTGTTGAGGATACTGCAATGATGTTCACAGATATGTCTGCAGTTTTCTCTTTCTTGTACTGTCTTTGTCTAGTTTTGGTATCAGAGTAATGCCAGCCATATACAGTAAGTTAAGAAGTGTGCCCTTCTCCTACATTCTCTGGAAGAGACCGTGTAAATTGGTGGTATTTCTTTACATGTTTGGAGGAATTCAGCAGCGAACCATCTGGGCCTGCAGATTTCTTCTTTGGCAGGTTTTTAAACTACAAATTCAATTTTGTTAACAGTTATAAGACTATTCATATGCTATCTATTTAATCTTCAGTGAGTTCTTGTAGTTTGTGGTATTCAGAGAAGTGATCCATTTTATCTAAGTTGCTGAATTTTATGCAAAGAGTTGTTCACAGTATTCCTTTACTGTTATCCTTTTTAATGTCTACTGGATTCAGTGGTATCTCCTCTTTCGTGCCTGATATTGGTAGTTTGTGCTTCTCTCCTTTCCTCTGTCACTCTTGCTAAAGCTTTATCAGTTTTATTGATCTTTCCAAAGAACTGGCTTTGGGTTTCACTGATTTTTCTCTATTATTTTTGTTTTCATTTTTTATTGAATTCTGTTCTCACCTTTATTATGCATCTTTATTATTCCCTTCCCTCTGCTTGATTTTAATGTATTTTATTCTTCCTCTTCTCATTTCTTGGGATAGAAGCTTAGATTACTGATCTGAGACATTTTCTAATTTCCCTTGAGACTTCCTCTTTCACTCATTTATTATTTAGATATATGCAGTTTAATTTCCAAGTCTTGGAGATTTTCTGGTTATCCTTTGGCTATGCATTTCTAGTTTAATTCCATTATGGTCAGATGACATATTTTATTGGTGAATGTGACATCTGCACTTGGAACGATCATATATTCTGCTACTGTTGGTGGGAGTGTTCTATAAATATCAACTAAATGCAGTTGGTTAATCATGCTGCTCACTTTTTCTATATCCTGGCTGATTTCCTGTCTGTTAGATAGATCTATTAAATACTGAGACGGGAGAGTCAAAGTCTCAACCTATAATTGTGGATTTGTCTGTTACTCCTTTTAGATTTTGCTTCACATATTTTGAAGTTCTGTTGTTAGATGCATACACACTTAAGATTGTTATTTCCTTTTAATGTACTGGCCCTCTTACCAGTACTAATGTCCCTCTTGGATAACTTCCTATGCTCTGAAGTTTACTGTGTCTGACACTAATATAGCCACTACAGCTTTCTTTTGATTAGTCTTTTTGCATGGTATATGCCTTTCTCCATCCTTTGCTTTTAACTACCTACACTGTTATATTTTTAACGTTTCTTATAGATAGCATATAATAAGAA